AAAGCTTCATAGAAAACACCGACCTTACCTAACCTACTTAGTATGTTAAAATAAGCATCTTATAGCTTCGTAATTACAATTGTTACTTAACCTATTATAGGTATAGGTTAGGTAATAATTGTAATTACGAAGCAATAAGATGCTTATCTTAACATACTAAGTAGGTTAGGTAAGGTCGGTGTTTTCTATGAAGCTTTTCAAGGGAAACTATTATGTTAAGTATGTCACCTATGCACATATTTAATAAGTCAATATTGACTTATTAAATTTGCGAGAACGGGTTGCTGTATAATCTCACTGTTGTATATATATATATATATATATATATATATATATATATATATATATATATATATATATATATATATATATATATATATATATTCACAAACTAGCGTTGTATGATGTATTATGAGTGGCAGTGACATCACCCTAATATATCACATGTTGTATTTAGTATTAAATCAGGTGTTGTATTTAGTGTTATCCCGGGTTTTTTATTTGCTGTATTCTCCTACACTTTTGCTCTCGATGTATTCTACAATCTACCACCAGTGCTGCATAAATGTTCAGTCGTTTGATATTGTATTAATCGTCGTAGCAAGTGTATTGTATCCAGCCTACTGTAGTGTGAATTGTATCGAGAAAGGTGTTGTTGTTGTTGCTCCCGTTGCCAGGAAATGCCAACGTCTTGAATCATAGCCAGATTGATCAGCGGGAGTAGGAGCTCTGGACGCAAGGTCACGCTTAACCCCCTTGTAAATTAGGCTGAATTATATGTAAATGATTAAAAAAAATGTGTAAATAAGAGGGAAATTTTTGAATTGAAGCTAAACTATTTGTAAATGAGGGTTAAACTATTTGTAAATGAGGGCTAAAATGTTTGTAAATGAGGGCTAAAGTATTTGTAAATGAGGGCTAAAATATTTGTAAATGAGGGCTAAAATATTTGTAAATGAGGGTAAACAATAGGTGACAATCCTCGAGGGGCTGGTATAGAGGGGGGGAGGAGTTAGTTATCTGGGTGCTCCCCCCCCCCCCTTTGTAAATTCGGGTATATAACGTTGTAAATGAATGTAGAGTATAGGTAGTAGTAGTGTGAATAATTATCACTTGTTTACATCAGCCCTTGTACACTTGCACCCGCCCCCCCCACCTACACACACTCATCTCCCCCACCACCTGTCCCCCACCACCACCATTCTCCCCCACCACCCTGGATCACTATCTGCGGGAGAAGCATCGAGCTCTCTCTATCAGACTCCGTTATCAGAGCCTCCAGTGGTGGGTGGTAGGGGGGCGTAGTGAAGGGGGGTATAAAGGGAGGGGGAGGGAACGTACCAAGAAGGAGGAGAAGGAAGAGGGAGGAGGAGAGAAGGAAGAGAGGGATAGAAGGAATAGGAGGATTTATGAGTTAAGAAATATGGTTTCTTGGGAAGTGGGAGGGTTAATATCGACACTAAGTGCTGGGATAGAGATGGGAGGGGGGGGTAAGGGGGAAGAGAAAGTGGGGGGAGCAGGTGGATATACTGGTATGTGTGAGGAGGCCTGGTCGAGGACCGGGCCGCGGGGGCGTTGAGTCCCGAAATCATCGCAAGGTAACCGCAGGAGGATGAGGAGGTGGATGTAGGTATGGGTATGTATGTATGTATGAGGGTATGTATGGTATACTGGTATGCATGAGGACACAGTGAGTGCTGAGGGTGTTGTGAGATATGGTGGCGTGAGGAGGGGGGAGGGGGGGACAGGTGTTGGCGCGGACAGGTGTTGGCGCGGACAGGTGTATCTATCTATCTATCTATCTGCTGTTTATTGGCAGAGGTCAGGTTAGTAATTTTCCTTTCAGGGAATTTTCTTTAACGACGTACGTACCTTGCTAAACCCCCCAACGGGAACCAGCCATATATATCCCCCCCACCCCCGTGTGTGTGTGTGTGTGTGTGTGTGTGTGTGTGTGTGTGTGTGTGTGTGTGTGTGTGTGTGTGTGTGTGTGTGTGTGTGTGTGTGTGTGTGTGGAGGATGGGAAGGGAGTGATTTGAAGCATGATAATGTTAATATTTTCCTACAAAAGATATTTTAAAGTGTGTGGAGATATTGGGCAACAAGGTTGTCCCCTCGGTCAAATAGGGTTGTCAGCGTGAACTACTGACGCCCTGTATCTTCTCTGGTGGATGGTCTGGCCAGGAAGGGGGCTAGTTGGCCAGTCAGTGGACAGTTAAGAGTGGCCGCTGGATGAGGCCAGTACAAGAGGAATAGGGATGAAATGGGGATGTCCTCCTATCCTCATCCTTACCGCGCGGACACGGGGCGCCTGTTCCCACAGCAGAGTGAAGTGCAGATGTCTCTTCTGTGATTCCAAGACTTCACAGCCTCATGCATCTTCACTGTCATGTGTGGTGGGGAATATGAGCAGCATCTTCACTGTCATGTGTGTGGCGGGGAATATGAGCAGCATCTTCACTGTCATGTGTGTGGTGGGGAATATGACCAGCATCTTCACTGTCATGTGTGTGGCGGGGAATATGACCAGCATCTTCACTGTCATGTGTGTGGCGGGAAATATGAGCAGCATCTTCACTATAATAAGACCTAAATTGAATTACTCTTATTAGGCAAAATTGTACATTAATTTTACCGAGATTAAACTCCAGCAAGCTATCAAGCCAGACCAATTTTCCAGTTTTTACGGCAACTTACAATTTCTTGCAATCATCCACCGTTCTTCTCGCTGACAAGACTATCTTTCCTGCCTTGCTGACCCGGGTTTTAATCTAAGTTCACTTTACGTCTCTGGCCTAACAGTAAGTGCGCTCCTGAAACGATGGAGCAATGTAAATCGTGTCCCGATTTACATCAGATTGGAGGTTTGTCGTGTCCTCTATATTGTCTACTCTCATAAGAAATCCTAGTGTCGTTTGTAAATGATAATACAGTGCTGTAGTTTGTATCCTTGTCTATGTCTGATAATTTAGGATGAGAAAAAGTAACGGGGCCAGTACGGTATCTTGGGGGGACTATAAGCTTTTCACAGTAGATGATCCGGATTTAACTGTGTTTCATCTTCCAAGTAGATTCATCTCCCTACTTCCCCGGTAATGGCGCATTTTGTGCGCAATAGCACCACGGTCACAATTGTCGATAGCTTTTGCAAAGGTTGTGTGTGTGTGTGTGTGTGTGTGTGTGTGTGTGTGTGTGTGTGTGTGTGTGTGTGTGTGTGTGTGTGTGTGTGTGTGTGTGTGTGTGTGTGTGTGTGTGTGTGTGTGTGTCTCTCTCTCTCTCTCTCTCTCTCTCTCTCTCTCTCTCTCTCTCTCTCTCTCTCTCTCTCTCTCTCTCTCTCTCTCTCTCTCTCTCTCTCTCTCTCTCGCAACATTTAAAGCTGCAAATAGTAATAATTTGTTCGGTAACCAAGAGGCATGCGTGCAATTGCGTGTTTAATTCAACTGTTTTGTGATGCATTTGTGTGTATCGTTTTGTGAGAAGCAACAGTAACTGTTGTTTAGTGAGAAATAACGGTAACTGTTGTTTAGTGAGAAGCAACGGTAACTGTTGTGTTGTGAGAAGCAACGGTAACTGTTGTGTTGTGAGAAGCAACGGTAACTGTTGTGTTGTGAGAAGCAACGGTAACTGTTGTTTTGTGAGAAACAACGGTAAATGTGGTTGTACGAACGCATCAAAAAGAAAAGACTAAAACTTGTTATTGTGACTAAAACTTACGATAACATTAAGTAGGAAGAATTACTGCAACGGGCACTGGACGGGGACAGAGGAACGACAAGATCATAGTCGTCGTTCATCTTATTCAAGACCTTATTGAAGACGTCGTCCCCCCCCCCCGGCCCACGACGACTGCCCACAAGGTAAATAAAAAACATCACAATACGAACAATCTTGAAGGAGTTTGATGGCGTCCCAGACTTGGCTAGAAGGTTAGGTTAGGTTAGGGTAGGGTAGGTTAGGTAGGTTAGGTAGGTTAGGTTAGGTTAGGTTAGGTTAGGTTAGGTTAGGTTAGGGTAGGGTAGGTTAGGTTAGGTTAGGTTAGGTTAGGATAGGGTAGGGTAGGTTAGGTAGGTTAGGGTAGGTTAGGGTAGGGTAGGGTAGGTTAGGTTAGGTTAGGTAGGTTAGGTTAGGGTAGGTTAGGTTGGGGTCCACTACTGCTCGCGAGATGGGTATATGGGGGTCCACTGGATGGACAAATATAACTTGAAACGTGTTTCATATCCTTTCTAGAATTAAAACTTACGTTTCTCAACAATATATTAAAATTGTTTTAATGTGTGCGATAATATTACTTATTTACCGAGTGATGTTGACTGAGGATTTTATCGCGTGAAAAGAACATATTTTGTTAAGGTTTGTGAGTTAGATGAAAATGATTTTTGAACATATCGTGCGTTTTCAGCTGTCCGCTAAAGAATACTTTAGGGGGAAATATTCAACAAATTCATGTAATAGATATGTTGATGGCTGTAACCTAGCCGATAGATGCTAGGCTATGAAGAACAGGCTTTTTTAATACAGTGTAGTCCCTAGGCTACTGTGCTTGCGTCCCTCTGACGGGAGCAGGTTGTGTGTGGGGCGCATACACACCGTTATACACTAGTGTGTATGACTAGTGTTATGAAGGGGCTGCACATCAAGAAATTTTAATTAGTGATTCCATATTCCCCCATTGCTATGATCCCCCAGCGTACCTGAGCTAGCCAGATTACCTCCATTTCCCCCCACTGCTGTGTTTGTCTGCCGTGGTCGGAAGTGACGGGCAGGTTTTCTCAACATTTCGCCTCCGTATGTCTCAACGCGCAACTTAAATGGGAAGTTTTAGTCTTTGCGCCCATTAACGGACACGTGTACACCGGTCGACGTGAATATAAACAGTCGGAAAGTGTCCAGAAAGTTCGTAAGAGGCGAAGTCAGGGAGCGTGAAGTATGCGGCGAGGCTCGGTGGACCAGCCACTGCCTGAGGCTAAGAAGTGAAGCAGAGGTCTTGTCTGGAAACAAGTTTCGCCTCAGAGATGACGAGAGAGTCTTGAGGGAGGGTGTGCGTGGCTCCCGCTCCGACAAACACAACCAAACACAACACGCTTCTCGGGGAAAAATCATTGTTTTTGTTTACAAAGTGGCGTCCCCCAAGGAACCGGGAGGCCTCTTGTGTTTTTGTTATACAGAAAACGTGGGATGATATTTGCTTGAAGTGGTAAAAAATATATTAGTCTTGCGCTGAGCAAGATTTGGGTTAATGTTACATGGCTCTTTATGTCACGTATTTTAAGTGCTTGAAATTCTGTGAAGAATATTAGTGAAAAACAAAACCGGATTTATTGTGAAAGTTGTTGTTGTAAAAGAGTGTTACTGATGTGAGGTGTGGTTAGTGAGCCGTGTTAACTTAACCTTGGATTACCTGTGGTTGCTGTACACGAAGGTAAGACCTCCACGCCTCCTTACCCCAACCTTACCTTCCAAATACCGCTTGTCTCTTAACGTCTTAACTTGAAACTTGCAAAATATTGTACTCGATGACAAACTTTGCCAAATAATTTCCATTCGATACGAGTCTAAATTATAAATGTCAACTTTCCTAGCTATATAAAGAGTTAATGCAATATCAGTATATCAACTTTCTTCAACGGATACACGTCAGTGATAAATTAAGAGTTCTATATAGATGTAGTTTGTTCTGTGTTAACTTTTATTTCATTTTTAGTAGTAAGAATGTCTTGTGTGTGTGTGTGTTTCAGGAGGAGGTACTTGTGCTCACTTCTTGAAACTGTCCAGGAATAATTTATGCTTTTGTTAACTGTTGTAATTCTTAACTCCGCTCGAGTACTTTTATGTCCGTTATGTAGACTGTTGTGTGGGTGGTCGTACACGTATCATGCTCTCAGGCGCGTTCTTAACCGTGGCGAGAAATGCGTAAATATGTAGTTGGGTAATGAAGGGGGAGTTGAAGTGTGTAGTTAGTATGGTAGTCTTGTGGTGGTTGAAGACACCTTGACATGGAAGTCTTGTAAAGGTGGTGAAGACACCTTGACATAGTTAGCAGAAGTGCAGCCGTTCAGGTTTGGGACATGGCAGCAAATTGCTGCTTTTGGACAGTTGGGTCATTAATAGTTCTGGTTATAACAAGCATGGGGCCTCATTCATCAAAATTCCTACTGTTAAATCCCCGAAAGCCAGTGTGTGTGTGTGTGTGTGTTTGTTTGTTAATTTGCCTTGAAAATAATGTTTAATGTTTCCTAAACACTGATAGATAAGTGGACGCCAAACAATAGATAAGTGGACGCCAAACAATAGATAAGTGGACGCCAAACAAGAGAGTAAATGTTGACGCTTTTTTTTTCTTTTTTTTTGTATTGGTTTAAGGAGGCGACAAACATGGTTGTGTTGTTTGTCAAAGGCCAGTTAGCCAACTTACTCTTGGTAAACCAAGTTATATTTAGTAACGGGTTTTATCGAGTGAGAATGGCAGTGGTGGTGGGGTGGGCTGGATGGGTCAGCCATGGTACGAAGCCTAGCCTGGCCCAGGTCAGGAGAGGAGGGGAGGGGATGGCCCAGGTCAGGAGGGGAGAGGGGAGGGGATGGCCCAGGTCAGGAGGGGAGAGGGGAAGGGATGGCCCAGGTCAGGAGGGGAGAGGGGAAGGGATGGCCCAGGTCAGGAGGGGAGAGGGGAAGGGATGGCCCAGGTCAGGAGGGGAGAGGGGAAGGGATGGCCCAGGTCAGGAGAAGGGAGAGGATGGCCTGGGTCAGGAGGAGATGGTCTAAACAGGTCATGACTGAAGCATCATGGCTGGTGGCCTCCAGGGGCCTCCAGGTGCCTCCTGGTGGCCTCCAGGGGCCTCCTGGTGCCTCCAGGTGGCCTCCTGGTGCCTCCTGGTGGCCTCCAGGGGCCTCCTGGTGCCTCCAGGTGGCCTCCTGGTGCCTCCTGGTGGCCTCCAGGGGCCTCCAGGTGGCCTCCAGGGGCCTCCTGGTGCCTCCTGGTGGCCTCCAGGGGCCTCCTGGTGCCTCCTGGTGGCCTCCAGGGGCCTCCTGGTGCCTCCTGGTGGCCTCCAGGGGCCTCCTGGTGCCTCCAGGTGGCCTCCTGGTGCCTCCTGGTGGCCTCCAGGGGCCTCCAGGGGCCTCCAGGTGGCCTCCAGGGGCCTCCAGGTGGCCTCCAGGGGCCTCCTGGTGCCTCCTGGTGGCCTCCAGGGGCCTCCAGGTGGCCTCCAGGTGGCCTCCAGGGGCCTCCAGGGGCCTCCTGGTGCCTCCAGGTGGCCTCCAGGGGCCTCCTGGGGCCTCCAGGTGGCCATGGTGAGACACTATCAAGAAGGGGCCAGACAAGGCGAGGGACACTTCAGACTTGAGTCGTCAGTAGTGATAAGTCTTATCTCCACCGGTCAGTCCTGTCGCTGGGATGGGGATGGGAGGGGGGAGGTCGTGGGGTAACTGCTCGCTGATTAAGTGATTAGGAAAGTGAATTATCCGTCGTCTTGTCAGCTGACAATCAGTATGAATCATGGATATCTCTCTCTCTCTCTCTGTCTGTCTGTCTGTCTGTCTGTCTGTCTGTCTCTGTCTGTCTCTGTCTGTCTGTCTCTCTCTCTCTCTCTCTCTCTCTCTCTCTCTCTCTCTCTCTCTCTCTCTCTCTCTCTCTCTCTCTCTCTCTCTCTCTCTCTCTCTCTCTCTCTCTTTACAAGTGCTACAAGCACGTCGCATCACATCACTAAAAGCCTAAGTCAATATTTATCATAGAAATTTTTCGCTTTCAAATTATTAAAAAAACAAGTACCATTTTATACAACAGTGAAGGTGTGGAGGGACTATGGTGCATAATTGTTAACCACTAGGCCTAGATGATGTTAAATTGTCTAGTTTAGGCCTAGGTTCATCTTGCACATCCTCAAACTAGGCTGTTCTGACTGCGGCCGTCTAGAAATCGTTCTCATACTTTTAACAGTAATTAATAGCCTAACTGAAAAGCGGTATTTTCTCGACTAATAGTTAACATTATACAGTATATTACTAATCTTGTAATAGGCTTCGGTTAGATTGGGTTTGTTTGTTTCCGTTCCTTGAGCAGACTTTCCTTGTTGGCTGTGATGTCTAAGATTCGCTACTTGGAACAAAAAGTTCCAAGTAGCACGGGCTATGGTGAGCCCGTTGTTGGCGGTGAAGGCTGTGCTTGTGCAAGCTGCTCCTCCTCCTGCTGCTGTCTCCTCGAAGATGCTATTCGGTAACTTGTCTTACTTTGCGACAGAAAAATATATATATTTTTGCTCTGATATGAATGACTGTTATTATTATATCATAATCCAGTGTACACGCGCAGTGACGACCCTTAGGTCCGTCGAGGCCCTGATCCAGTTACGACTCGAGGTGGGTCCAAGGGCCCTTGTCCCTGTCATTCCCTGTGCGTGGGTTGTGTGATCAGCCACGTTGTTGTGACTGGTTCCCTGCATTACATATGCTGATGAAGTTCATTGTAGAGGCACGGTAGCCTCGGGTTATAGATTCATGATTGTATGATTAGATTGTATTAGTTCTACATCTAATTGTATTGTCATCATTCTATATTTTTGGTGACAATAATTGTGCTAATTTCCTCCTTACTGTTCTATTGGTCAACCTCACTTTGGTTTTGACAATATATATCACCTCTTTCAAACTCTAAGCTAAATGCCACTCGCTCCATGCTTCAAATGTGAGGTTGATTTAGAATCTAAATCTAATTCCTGTAAATGTAAACCTGTTGAACCAGTTATTGTAAAGACTTGAATTAGTCGTTACGAATCAAGTTTCTGATTCTGATAATGAGACTTCGTCTGCGTGCAGTGCTCGGTATGTACCTGGATTGTACCTTAATGGGGGTTTGAGAGTTCTTCTACTCCCCCCCACATCCCCCACTCCCCCCCCCCCCCCAAGCTGGTCCCGATATGCCTCTGACGTAATCAGTGTACGGTTCATATTATGTCAACTGTCACTGATTATGTCGACTGTCACTGCTTATGTCAACTGCCATTTTTTAGATGAAATCTTTTTGATTTGTTTTAAGTTGGTGTTTTCGTCCTGTTGGCCATTAGTATCTTTTATTATCTGTTGTATCAGTTATTATCTACAGCACGTAGGTGACCCAGAGCCGCCCGGCGCCTTCCGTGAGGTGGGGGGGAGGGGGGCGAGCTCCATGCCCGCCCCCCCCCACCCCTTCGTACCCGGGGTATATGACGTTTTTACATCATGGTATCGACGTTGAAAAACGTTTATTCAACGTTACTCGAGTGTGTTTTGCGTCTTTATTGACGCAATTTTGTTGTGTATACAAATTCGGCGTTTTTTAACAATATATATATATATATATATATATATATATATATATATATATATATATATATATATATATATATATATATATATATATATATATAATTTTGTGTATAGTTAGGACTACGACGGGTTAGGTTAGGTGTTTAGGTTCTGGCAATTATTTGTATCTTTAGCACGTTAAGTGAAGCGTGTAGAGAAGTGCGATTCGAACGCTGGAATAAGAGAGAGAAGATTCGGGACGCGTTCGAACGTCATCTGTTGTGAATCTGGTGTAATGTGGTGTTCGCTTATAAGTAGGGGGTTTTGGCGGCGAGGTTAATGATCATTTAGGCATTGTTTATGAGGACGGGTTGTGTTTATGAGGACGGGTTGTGTTCGTGAGGACGGGTTGTGTTCGTGAGGACGGGTTGTGTTCGTGAGGACGGGTTGTGTTTATGAGGACGGGTTGTGTTTATGAGGACGGGTTGTGTTCGTGAGGACGGGTTGTGTTTATGAGGACGGGTTGTGTTTATGAGGACGGGTTGTGTTTATGAGGACGGGTTGTGTTCGTGAGGACGGGTTGTGTTTATGAGGACGGGTTGTGTTCGTGAGGACGGGTTGTGTTCGTGAGGACGGGTTGTGTTTATGAGGACGGGTTGTGTTCGTGAGGACGGGTTGTGTTTATGAGGACGGGCTTTTCGACCATCATTAGTTCAATGCAGTGACTCTTTTTCACTCATGAGCTTGTGCTGGGATTTACACTAATGGCTGAAAGTGAGCGAATGGTGTGTCAAGCCAAAGCTACCAACATAATCACATCACTGTCAGTATGGCTGACCTCGACGCTAATATGCAAGCTATGATGTGTAACTTCTCTTCCCTAGGATATGGGGAAGAGACCCCGACCCCGTCCCATCCCAAGTCCTTATCCTGATCCCTTCAAAGTGCTCTATAGTCGTAATGGATTGGCGCTTTTCCCTGACAATTCCCTTCCCCTTCTCCCCCTGGAGACCCACTTGGACTGGACGGTAAAGCGACGGTCTCGCTTCGTGCAGGTCGGCGTTCGATTCCCGACCGTCCAAGTGGTTGGGCACTGTTCCTTCCTCCCCGTCCCATCCCATACCCTTATCCTAACCCTTTTCTAGT